AGGCCTTGGCAAGGGGCGGCATAGAAATGTTTTAATAAATAAATAAAATAAAACACTGGAATCCCCCTAGTACTGTCTGCTTCTTCTGAAATGCAAAGGAAGAAGTAGACTGAAATGCCAAAGGGTGGGAGGATTTAACTGAGTCAGGGACAGTGGCTTTGTTTAGGGAACTATGATTGTTTTGCCTTAGACTTAGATTGTTTTCTTCAGACTTCAGCGCTTTCCTATTTTACTCACAGTGACAAATTCAGAAGATCCAGCCAGAAAGAACAAACAGAGGAATTTCCCCAGCACGTGATGCTAGTCAGCAATGCATTCTGGTGGAACAAAAGCACAATATTTAAGTATGGCCAGTTTTAGCTGCATCAGAGTTGCCAGACAGGCGCTTAAAATCCAAAGTTCTGTTTTTGCACAGCAAAAAGGGAAGTGGAGTGCTTGTAAAGGCCCGTTACCTCTGCCTCTAGGACTATACACCTAGGTGTGTTCAACCTCTTTCAGCCTGGGGACCAAAAACTAACTCTTAGGAGAGCAATGTTAAGTTTTTATACTGGGGGAAGACATTGCACAAAAAGACAGGAAACCTCCAAGCTATCAAGAGAAAGAGGATGGAGCCAGGGGAGGGAGTGTGGCCATACGGGGACTCCCAGGAGGGTCAGAGTCTCTGTACTGTGTTTCCCTGAGAGTAAATAAGATAAAAGGGATTATGTGAGTAAGCCTCGATAGAACCTGAAAGCGCTTTGTTTTGATTAGATCATGCCTTTAAATTTTGAAATCAGGAGAGGAGGAGGCAGAGGGGGAGGTGGGGCCCTGACCAGTGAGGGCGTTCAAGGAAAGATTGGACAACCACATGTTGCATCTTACATGAGTGGAGCCAGCTTGTGCCAGGGGTCAGACTAGATGGCTCTTCTATCTTGCTATGTTTCTATATTCTTGAATATGCAATATATGTATAGCTTCCATATAGCCTGAAGTGCCTGATCCTGCCTAATTTCAGAAGCTAAGCAGGGCTGGTCCTGGTTGAAATCTGGATGGGTGACTGAAGTGTTGTGAACCACCCAAAGAGCCTTGGCTATGAAAATGAAATACAGTAGTAATATAGGCAATTCCTACTGCATACAGTTTAGCCCAGTGCTTTAACCCTCCCTACTGAAAATCCTCTTTGTGGCTTTTGTTCAGGTCCCATAGAGAAAAAAATCGTCGTCAGCCTTCAGAAACTCAATGTTGCTCAGGATGAACAACAGAACTACGGCTTCTTCACACTAATTTACAACCAAGGCTTCGAGGTTGTGCTGAACAGCTACAAGTGGTTTGCCTTTTTCAAGGTAAAAGTAGCTTTTCCCTCTCCCCTTCGCTCACCCAGTTCTCTGCATTACTCCCCCTAACCCACCTGATGAAAATGCTGCCACCGGGTTGAAATTCTGGCAGAATTTAGCTCTGGCAAGCAATCGGTCCTCCCACCCCTGCCTGCCCCTGCTGGAATAATAAAAGGCATCGCTGTCAGTGGTATTTGAAGAGTGAGTGGAGGAGCAACTGATGCTTAATCGTCTTAAAATATTTATTTGTTCTTTTTAAAAATTAAGACAAGCCATCAAGGATGATGCATAAATAATTGGTGCTTAATCTTTAGGGTGTTTCAGGGCTAACTTCATTGGCCAAAACAAGAATAATAAACCATGTGGCAAAATTGTCACTGTGTGGTGTCTGCTTCAGGGGGGACAACAATACAAGCTTAAAGCGGCCTTCCCCAACTGGGTTCCCCACAAGTATGGACTACAACTCCCATCATGCCTGGCTGTTGGCCATGCTGGGCTGAAACCGGAGGGGTTGAAGTCTGAAGCATCTGAAAGGCACCCAGTCAAGGACAGCTGGCTTAGGATATCAGCAAGAATTGATTGGTGGTTGCATGGAAAGGATGTACTTCTGCTGCAAAGACATTCGAGGGATGCAGTAAGCATCTTGGCTGAGACATACGCCCTTGTCAGCACAGGGTGGGCCATCCAGCAGGGACCAATTGGGTGGCTGGTTTTCACTCCTGCAACTGAGTTTTTGGTTCTGATGTGCCGTCGAGTCATCCTTGGCTTATGGCGACCCCATGAATGAGAGCCCTCCAAAACGCTGGTCCACAACAGCCCTTCTCAACTCTTGTAAACTCAAGCCTGTGACTTCCTATATGGAATGGATCCATCTTGCAGTTGGTCTTCTCCTCTTCTTCTGCCCGCAGCTTTGCCGACATGATTGTCTTTTCCAGGGTGTTTTGCCTTCTCATGGTGTGTCCCAAGTACAACAACCTCAGTTTCATCATTTTAGCTTCCAGGGAAAGTTCTGGCTTGATTTCATCTAGGACCCTCTTGTTCTTCTTTCTGTTGGTCCAGAGTGTTTGCAATCCTCACCTCCACCATCAAGTTTCTAATGCTTTCATTTTCTTCCTGTCAGCGTTGTTGAGTGCAGTGCTTTATTTTCTCCATTGGAATGGCAGGTAGCCATTCACTTGTGTAGCTTAACATAAAGCAGGTGTCTAAACTTTTTGCAAGGAGGGCCAGATTTGGTGAGGTGAAAATGTGTGGGGGCCGACCATTCAGCCTGACATTCTTTGAACCATTAACATTAAATGCAAATGAACTATTTTATGAAAGGCTAAGCAAATAACTTAACTGCACTAATGTGAAGGGTGATACTGAGATCTCGACTGCATTATATAGGCCAGGTCTGGCTCAAAAACAGTGGTTTTGATGCGCAAGGTGTCACGCAGGTGAAAGTCACTTAGTCTCATCCTCACATGGTTCTTGTTAATGTTCATAACCGAGAATGTCTTCTCACACAAGTATGTCGAACCAAACAAGCTCAGCATTTTCTTAGCAAATGTTCGAACCTCTTGGAACCTGTCATTATCCAGCTGGCGGTAAAAGTTGACAAGAGGGAGCTCTTGGTGCCGACTGCGACACTCGGCGTCACACTGCAGCTCAATGAGCTCCAGCTGCAGGTGGTCTGGAGCATCATCAGGGTCCACAGAGAAAGGAGATGAAAAAAGCGTGATCTCCTTTTCAATAGCTGCAAAATCCCAAAAGCGCTGTTGCAACTGCTCAGTCAGAGATGAGATGTCTGCTTCATACCTCCTTATCTGCGCACTCATATTGTTCTGTGGAAAACTGGTCATTATTTCCTGCAGCGATGGGAAATGTGTGGTATTGGGCTGCGTTTGTGACAGGTGCCTTTGGAAAAGTAGCAGCTTGGTCCCAAAGGCTTTGATATGTGAATACAGTTGGCTTACCACTGCATTTTGCCCCTGAAGGCTTGTGTTCAGCACGTTCAGATGTCGTGTTATGTCAACTAAAAATCCAAATTCAGCCAGCCAAACAGGATCAGATAGCTCTGGCATCGGTTGTCCCTTTTTTGCCAAGAATTATCCGATTTCCTCCCCAAGAGAGTAGAAGCACTGCAGTGCAGACCCCTGACTGAGCCATCTTACCTCGTTGTGATACACAACATTTCCGTATTCAGCCTGGATGTCGAGTAGAAACTGTTGAAACTGGCAGTGGCACAGGGCTTTGGAGCGAATATAATTAATAGCCTTCATCACCGGTTTCATAACATGATCATATTTCAGATGTTTGGCACAGAGAACTTGCTGGTGAATAATACAGTGGAGTTTTATAGCTTTGCCTCCTTCTTCGCTGACTTTGTTACAGACTAGGGTTGATAATCCACTTCGCTCGCCAGCCATGGCAGGTGCGCCATCCGTAATAATCCCAGTGACTTTATTCCACGG